AAGCATGAAGACCCCAGGATAGTGAGGTTCTGACCCACATCAGATACATCTAGGCCACGGTTGTGTTTCAGCTCCAGGCCCAGAAAAGCAGCAAAACCAGACAGGCAACGCCACGGCCAACATCAGGACCAGCCACACTGGCGAATGGCCCCCTGCCCTGGTGCTGACCAATCAGTAGAGTCCACGACCCTGAAAGAACACATCTGGAAAGCTGACCCATATTCTATTGAGATCCTCCCTGAGAGCGCCCCTAAAATCTCCAGCCTTAAAGGGTCCCTTAAGAGGGAGGACCCAGTGCACGCTCCCTCCCGGGAGCGCGCCCGCACCTTTCCTGTGCCCCTTTTCTTCCTCACCTTCCTCCCTCCCAGGCTCCAAGGGCCCTTCTGTTGCCTCTGTGACTCATTTCCTGAGCCCATTTCTGCTACCTCTGTGACTTTCTCTTCTTTTTTATAATATTTTATTCACTTATTTTTAGAAAAAGAGGAAGGTAAGGAGAAAGAGTGGGAGAAAAACATCAATGTGTGGTTGCCTCTCATGTGTCCCCTACTGGAGACCTGGCCTGCAACCCAGGCATGTGCCCTAACTGGGAATGGAACTGGCGACCCTTTGCTTCACAGGCCCGTGCTCAATCCACTGAGCTACACCAGCCAGGGCCCTCTGTGACTTTCTGAACAAACTTATAGTTTGAGTCTCATCTCTGAATTCTTTCCTAGCCAGAGCTCAGGTACCAAGGTGCTGAACCAAGGTCTGGTGTGACTCCTCCGGTCTAACACCTGGTGCCATGTGCTGCCATCAGATGGGATGCTGAGGCTCAGGTGCAGGATTGTGCGAGGCCACGAACTCCTGATGGCTGATGCACACTGGTTTGCTAAACCAGGGTCAAGTAGAAGGGGCTGGGGGACAAAACAAGGAGAGGAGGCAGCGCAGCACAGCTTAGCCCCGCCCACAGAGCACGGTCCTCTTTCCATTTCCCGAGGAACAGTTCTGTTCTGCACCAACCATGCATCGCCAGCGAATCCTCTGCCAGAGAACAGACAACAGAGACCTGGGGGGAGGCATTCCCCTCAAGGTCAAGTGACTAGAGATGGAATGCAGCGCGGATTTCCCTGCAGGAGCAGCTGATGTTTTGACTACCATCCTCCTCCAAGCAGCCTCTGAGATTTGGCACCCACGTGCCCTGGGTGTTGCCCGGCCATCCCGGAGGCAGCCCTGGCTGGGTCCTTGCAACCTCGATGCACGTGGAATGCTAAACACACCCCAGAGTTCCCGACATGGCCACCTGGTTACAGCCCTGCCCGAGCTTGTCTGCAGCAATTGCGAAGGCAAGGCTTCATGCGAAAATCTATTACAGAGCATCCGTGGACAGACGGTGAGCAGAAAGCACAGCTCCACGCAGGAAAATATGAGCAGTCAGCACCACGCCTCGGTGGGGGCAGGAAAACCTTTAGGTGGAAAATATTGCTTTGATGACTTCTCCGGGAGGAAAGAACAGGCTGACATTGCTATGGGGCGGCAGTTTCCATTTTTTAAAGAAAGCAAAAAAGCTTTCCAGAAGCCCATCAAGGTTAGACAGCACCATTGCTCTGCTTAATTTATTTCCACACAGGTCTGGTGTTGTCACCTCTGCCCTGGAACTGTGCCTGCGTCTTACCACAAATTTCATCATAGGAAGATCAGCGTCTGTGTGCAGGAAAACCAAACAACAACAGCACCGGCGCATGCAGACACATGAAGCTCTCGGTGGCATGGTGGCCTGGTTGACATGGCCCCTGGGAAATGAGGGGGAGGCAGGAACAGTCCCACGCAGAGGAAAAACTCAGCAGCCTCCTCCTGAGCATGGTATTCTGGGAAATAACCCTTATTTGGGATGCTATTCTGCCCCTATAATATTAAATATTATTTGTAATTATTTCTGTAACCGAAAGGCCAAAAAAAATTCCTACAAATTGGACACCTCCCCCATTGCCATTTTGTTCATTTTATTTCAAGTTCCATTGACATTTATTTTAAAGCCCTTCCTGTGACTTGAAAATATAGGCATTTTGGCTAATATTATTATTTCATGCTTTGTACTTCAATGTAATATAAGGATTATATTTAGCCCTGGCTGGCATGGCTCCGTGGATTGAGCACTGGCCTTCCAACCATAGGATTGCCGGTTCAATTCCTAGTCAGGACACATGCCTGGGTTATAGGCGAAGTCTCCAGTAGGGGGCGTGTGATAGGCAACCACACACTGATCTTTCTGTCTTTCCCTTCTCCTCTGTAAAAATAAATAAATAAAATCTTTATAAAAAAGAAGGGATCAGATTTACTCACCCAGACTTGCTCAGATCTACATTTTGGGTTTTTTTTTCTGGATCCCAATCCCACACTACTTGAACAGCTCATATTTGCCACTTTGACTGTTTATTGTTTCTCTACTATTTTAAGTGCTTTCTTTTTCGTCCCCATCTTTTTCTATGAAGGATGCCACCCTTACTTGTCTGACAGCCTCCTCGCGTTGGCTCTGACTGGAGTGTCACCTCCCCAATCTGTCCCTCCCCAGCTTTCCCAGTCACATAGATGGTCACGGTCACCTCAGTAAAAACCCTGAAGCCAGCCCACACGCTGGCCATGAGCAGGTCCAGTGGGCCCACGAGCAAGGCGACCTCAAACCAGACTGCCTCCCACCACCCTCACCCGAGAGGGCTTCGGAAGTCACCTCTCTAGTCTCTCTGTGTCCCCAACACCCCTCCCCCATGAGGCCACCAGGGGGACCTTATAAAAGAGCATAACCTACCCCGAGTCACTTTATTCCATCTTGCATTCAACAAATATTGACACACTTACTCCTCGCCAACACTGTTCCAGCACTTTCTAGGCCTTGCGTTCCCGTCAGGGAGGAAGAGGGTAATCAACGACACAAGGGATGAAATGCACGGCGTTAGAGGATAAGAAGAGTTGTGCAGAAATACGACCCAGAGAAGGAGGCCCTGGAGTGCTCTGAGTGGCGGGACTCGTTCCAGCTCTATAAACGGGGGTTGCCACGTTAGGTACAGCGGTGTGTGAAAGCCCCACGGAAGGGGGCGTCTGAGGCCTGAAGGAGGTGGGAGAGAGGTCCACCCAATACCCGGGGAAGAGGGACAACCTTTGACAGCCTCGTATCCCGTTACAATAAAACCTGAATTCCCTGCCATTGCCCATGAGGTCCTGCAGCATCCGCACCCCCGACTCCTCTGTTCTCCGCCCACGCGAGTCTCTCCTGGATCTGTCTCCACGCCCGGCTCTTTCCCACTTCAGGGTGCCCTCTGTCTGGGATATATCCTTCACACACACGCCCTGTGAAAGGATTTCAATCTGAAGTGGAACCAGAGATTATGAAATGGAGAATCTCACCCGTGCACCCTCAGAAGACGGGAATGTAGGAACTGAGAGACTGGTTTCCCGTATAGCCCCATTTACAGAAGACTCAGACTTCTCTCCTAACCAATGGATATCTGCTGAGAATGCCTCCCCATCCTCAAGCCAATCAACTCACTTACTGCTCGGCCTCTGGATGGACTTCCCCGCTCTTTACACTCCTTGCTCATAAATACAGCCCACCCCAAACCCTGAACAGATTCTCATGTATCAGTAGATTGCTATAACGTGTTTTCCTGAATTGCAATTCCTCTGTTCTTCCCACGTAAACTCACTTTCTGGTCATTCAAGTCTGCCTCAGTTTACTTCTTGATTTAGATCGACACCCCCACCCTCTATTCTCCTTTTCTCAAGGCTGGTCCCTGTCCACCCTCAGATATTAAAGATGCCACTTCCTCCAAGAAGCCTTCCCTGACCACTGCCAGCCTCCCATCTCCTGCCCTCTTTCTGTGTTTTATTCACATTGTGGCTCTTATCACCGTTTGAAATCATCTTCTTTCCTGTCTGCCTCCCCTGCCCAGACCCAGGCTCCAAGAGAGAGAATAGCGCTGCCTATTCACGGCCTGGAACGGCCTGGGACAGAGCAAACATTCAGTACACATTTATCGAGTGAAGAAATCAATCAATCAAGGAGAACCAGATAATGAACTTGTAAATAATTAATGCAATCCAGGGCAGCAAAGTGGGAATCACTCAAAAACAAGTCCACCCCCATCTCAGGCTCTGCCATCTTACCCAGAATAAGGACAACGATGACAATAGCAACCAGAACAATTCAATAATAATTTGGTAATTTGGGGGCGTGATTCCATTCTGTGAGGCAGCCCAGCCACGCTCATAACCGGGCTGTTTATCAGAAGCCCTCGTCATTCCTCTTTCCATCCTTGTGACACCACAGTGAGAGATGGGCCCCTAGTCCCATTTCCATGGGGCCGACACATGAGATTTTGAGGTGTTTTGTGACCCCTGGTGTGGGACAGAGCCAGGGTCCCAACAGAAGCTACATGCTTACATTCCAATTGCTCTAAAGAAACCACACGGAGCACTTACGGTGTGAAAGGAGCCAGTGCAAGAGAATTTCCAAAAAGAGATCATCTCGCAGGCAAAGTGGGACGGTTCCCACGAAAGGACATTTGGTTAAGGCCGAGACCCAACCATGGCATCGTCACAATGTGGTGTGAACCGCTGTGTGGAGCGCTCACTGTCAGCCAGGCCCTGGGACACGCAGTGGACACGTGTGACCTCATTCCCATGTGCTGTCGTCCCCAGTTTACAAATGAGGAAACTGAGGCACGGAGCGATTAAGTTAGTTACTTGCTCAAGTTCCCTTGCCTGGGAAGTGACCGAGCAGCTGAGGACCGAACTCAGCTCTGGCGGCACAGACCCATCCCGGGAAAAACCTAGCGCTCTCGGGGGTAGATCTGGTGAGATGGCAGGAGATAGAAGATACTAGAAATGTCTAGTCTGGCAGAACCTTCACCTTCAGATATGTTGGCAGGGTGTGGAGGGAAACAACCTACACCCCATCCTGGAGAAGGTTCTTCCCTCGATCCGAAGACATGGGGAGCCCTGGGCAAGGCCTTCCCTCTGCTCCTCACCTGTGAGCCATGGGCCGCTGCCTCCAACACCAGGACGCTTCCTCGGGCGGGGGCCGGGACGTGGGCAAGAACAGCTCCGATGGAGGGGCCGGAGCCAAGCCAGTGCCATCCAGGCGCCTCTTCCTCCTGGCCTGGGCCGGGGTGTCCTTGCCACTCTCCCTTCTGTCCCCTCCACAGGGCCCAGCTGTTGGAGCTAAGCCGCACCAGGGCAGGGACCACGAACATGGCAGCTGTGGCCGGGCTCGCCCCGGCAGGCTGTGGGAACAGAATCTTCCAGATGGGAGCCTGTAATCGCCTGTGCCCTGGAATTTTCTGCTTGGTTCACCAATTTTTAGCTGGACCAGCAGCGGCTTTGGTGTTGAACAAGGCGGGCATTCAGTCTTCAGTCCAGCAATTAAAAGGCTTTGAGGACAAGATCTCCTTTAGTTTCCAAGGGATGACATGGGTCCCAGCGAGGGTCTTAACACCAAGTCCTCTGAGTTAGCCAGCCAGCAAGCGTTCTTTGCGGTCTGCACAGCCTTGAGACGAATTCGAATTGTGATAGTGGAGGGCAGGGGGCAAAAATAAAGTTAATTAGGCTCCTGACATTCCAGTGGGAACCTGAGATACCCACGACGGAATCTGGGTTTTCACCCCCAAATCCTGCTCCACCCCCAGCCTTCCCATCCCAGGTCATAGTGACCTCACCTTCTGGGCTTCAGTGGAAACCTCGTAGGCACTGGGTCTCCAGCGCTCGTGCACACCCCACATCCTACCAGTTACAGCTCCTCCAAATACGGGTCAGAATCTGGCCATTCTCCCCATGTCCACGGTGCCCGCCGCCGTGGACGCTGGGAACAGCCTCTGCCTGGCCTCTCAGCTCCAGCCCTGACTCACTGCCCAGCTCAGCAGCCAGGGCATCCTGTCACAGTCAAAGCCAATGCCTGCCACTCTCCTGCAAAGAGCCTTCGATGGCCCCCATAATCACTCTGCATAAAAGTCCAGGTCTGACCGCACACAGCCCCGGAGGCCACTCTGCCTCAAACCTACCGCTCCTCTGCACTCTGCTCCTGAAATCCCCCTGGCTCCCCAGGACCTTTGCACATGCTGTTTCCTCAACCCGATGTTCGTTCCCCAGATGCCCACACGACTTCCTTCCTGCCTGCCTTCACACCTGCTCACATGTCTTTTCCTCAAGGAAGCTCATTCGCTGAAAATGACAATCCATTGCTCACCCTCCGCCTTCTGCCTCTCCCCCGCCACCCTCACCCACCTTCCTGACACCCGCGCCCTGCTCTGGTTTTTCCTTCTTCCTTCACAGCCCCGAACCCTCTCCTCCTTGGGCATCTTTATTGTGTCTGCTGTTCAGTACCTCTTTCCCCTGCACGTGAAGGGGAGGGAGCAGACAAGGCGTAATGTGCCTGTTTGGGGTGCCAGTGTGCCTCGGGCAGCCGCACAGATCCTGGCACGTGTTAAAGGTTCAGGAAAGATTCGTGAAATACAGGGGAGGCCCGTATGGAATTTCTGTGGGGAAAAAGAGGAGGAAGGAAACTGAGGGAAAGTTTTGGACTTTCCTGCTGCTGGGGAGACGAGATGGGGGAGAGGGTGGGAGGAGGGACGGAGAAAGGCACGCCCCCCACAGCCACTTGTACACTTACGCCCACCCCCAACAGGAGAGGAGGTCCTTGACCTCTGGGGACTGCTGGCTGGGTCCTCAGCTGCCCTCGGAGCACCTTGGGGCTCCTGGCTCCAGGACGGAGAAGCAGCCAGAGCTGAAGGACCCGTCTCTCCCTACCTGTCACCTGCGTGTGGGCCTTCCAGGCACTCAGCTTCCTAAAACCTTGATCTCGAAACTCGAGTGGTGGAGCGTGATCCTAATAGAAGTGGGGTCGTGTCCCGCTGGGAAACCTTGCCACCCAGGCCGAGAGGACGGCCTTACACAGCCCCCGCAAGTGCCAGTTCCCTCCTCAAACCTTCAGCGCCCTCCTCAAACTCTTCCATGCACCTGGTCACAGACAACTTGTCCCTCCCTTTCCATCTGGCTGTCAGTGGGAAAGCGGATTAGAAAGGCCACTCCCTTGGCTGGTCCAGAGCCGCAGCCCCATCCACAATCAGTCCATTCCCGCAGGTCCAGTTTCCTTCCCCAAACGTACTCTCCGGTGTGGGTTTTGAGAAACTTCCTACTTAAATGAATCTCACAGTCTGGACTAGGACCTGGGGCAACTTTTTTATGAGCGAGACGAAGAAATGCCCAATAAAAACGAGTTTCTCTCCCCACTGTGATTCCCAATAGTTTGTGTCGAACACACACAGGGTCGCCCGATTTTCTGTGATAAAGAAGCTGGTCAGGCAAGATCTGTAAGGAAATCAGCAGATGTTCTGGGTGTCGAAGAGGCGATTGAGGCTTCTCTTCCTCCATCTTATCTATTGTTCAAGTATATACTTTTAGATGCCAGAACAGACCTTTGCGAAGATATAGTATCAAAATACTCCAAAAATAATATTGTCGGGGCCTCTTTGTTGTTAATTTAAAAAATAATCCAGAGGCCAAAGTTTTATCAAGTCTTCATTTTCTATCTAATACCTTGAAATTGCCACATGTTTTGGGGAACTTGCTAAATTGAGAAGCTCGTTTTGTCCACACCGGCGTTCATCTGTTGTTAAGATGCCCCCCAGAAGTCAGAGGGGTCCTGGCGTGGATGTTATTGTGTCATTGTTTTCTTAGTGTAAAGCTGGAAATAACAAGGGGTGACTCACTGACCGCAGAAGGACCACCCAGAGAGCTGACGTCCTGGACCCGCGTGAAGACCTGAATCTCAGTTTCAGGGTCTGAGTGTGGACAACTGACGCACCTCTCTCCTGAGAGAGCAGCCCTGAGAAGGCCCCCAGGATGTTTCTAACACAAACAAGTGCTGCATCTGAGGACATCACCCTCAGGATAGCTTCAGGCAGCCTTGAAGGGAAACAGCGAAGGCCTAGACAGACCTTTTCAAGGTCAAACAAATTCTGTTAGGAAAAAAACTCCAAAGGTGTTAGATTCCTTGCAGGCAGCAACCTGAAACGTGTTTTGTTTTCAAGGGAGAAACTAGTCACGTAAAATCAAGCTTTGGGAGGGAATTTCTCTGGTGATTTAAAGTTTGTCTCTTTTAAGCGTAATCCTAGAATCCTAAAAACCTCGCCCCTTCGATGTCGTGATAAGAAAGCCACTTTGGAAGGGTGTTTTGACCGGCAGAAAACAATAGTACCGGGTGAAGAGACCGTGCAGGGATTAGCAGGGGGATTAGCCACAAGCTTCAGAGGTTTATACCTGCAGCCTGAAATCCAGCCCTGTGACTGGAGATGAAAACCCCATTAACCAGTCCAAGGCCACTCCCCTCGAGGCTTCTTGATAACTGGTGGGCTCAGTCCGAAGGGACACTGGTAGGTAAATAAGTGCAGCCGTGAAACCCAGTTTTCACTCATCCATTTATTCCCTATGGACCAGATTCATTGAGATGAATTACCGAGTAGATAATGACAATGCAAATTTGGACCCACCAGGTCCATGGAGATAAACTCCCTCGGGGGTCTATCGGGAAGGCACATCGTTTGGCATCACTGCTGGGCTAACTTTCAAGCACTTGGTCAAGGGCTTGGGGAGTGCACGGGGGCAGTTCCGCAAGGACCTGAAAGTCGGTATAGATTTTCCAACTGCTGAGTTAGGGCCCTTTGTTTTACAAAGGGAAGGACGGAAACTCACAGCCGCTGGACCAGAAGATGTTGAGCGGAGGGACTTGAGGGGGCGTTGAATGTCCATCAGGGCACGATGCTACCGTTCACCGGGTTTCTCATGGTCACTCCTGGTTGCCACAGGGAATTTCTTTAAAGGAGGAAACTTTGTGAAGGGAGAGATGAGCAGTTTCCTCTTTCACTTAATGGTGAAAATGGCTGAGGGAACAGACTGACAATACCTGGGTGTACCTGAGATCCCTGGCTCCTTAAAGAATGAGTCACTCATGGTTCTGGGAACCAAGTGAGAGGTTTCAACCTAGAACCTCCTGTGTTTTAGTTGAGGGGAAGTTCCTGTGTTGTTTCTTTGCCATACTTTTTTCTCCCCTCCATTTTCCTGGGTCCTTCCAGAATTCTTTTGGGTCTGTTTTTGCAATTCTTGATCGGATGCTACCTTGCTTTTCTATTCTCTTTTAACCTCTCTCATTTTGTTCTAGCTCCTGAGAAACTTCCTCAGCTTGAGCTTCCAACCCGCCTATTGATTTTTTCCCCCCTCACATGGTATTTTAATTCCCCAGAGACTTTTTCCCCCCATTCATTTATCAACAGCATTTCAACAACAGGATTGCATGTCATCTCTCTGGGACTATTAATTACAGGGTTTGGTTTTGTCCTCTCTCTCTTGCTGCCTGAATTGTCTGCTTCCTCCCTCTTTTATCCTGCATGTTTTTAAAAATTTATTCAATTTATTTAAAGAAAAACAAAAATAATTCACTAACCCCCCCGCCCCCCACTTAGTGTAATGTCCTTGAGGTCTGCCTATGTTGGAGTCCAACCACACACACTGTGATTATATTTAATTTCCCTGGTGATTAATGAAGTTGATCATTTTATCATATGTCTGTAGGCCAGTTTTCCTGTATGTTTTGTTTCATTATCTACGTATTGCTTAAGAGACTTCCTGTTAGATTACTCTTGACTTTCTGTCCATATTTAAGGACTGGGCCCCGCAAAGCCAGCCCCCTGCGGGGGGAGGGTGTGAGGCCAAGACCTTTAGTGGTAGGCCTCCTTCATCAGTTTTGTTAGGTCTTTTCTCTTGAGCTGGTCAGTTCTCCCAGATACGAAGAGTCCCACCCATTTCCTGCTTGGGTTGGGGATAATCCTGGCTGCCAACATTCTGAGACCTCAGAGAGGGAAGGAGGCTGGACGTCTCATTGCTCACAGTCAGAGTTTCCCATGATCCCTGTGTTGGGTTCCGTGCCTCGTCAGCCCACTTCTCCAAGTCCAGACTCCTTAACATTTTCTGTCTGCTGTTGTTTCCTCTTCTGTTATCCTCATTCTCGAAGGCTCTTCTTAAATGCCAGTCATTTCGTATGGGTTCGGGAACCCATGAGCTCCAGCCTCCATGCTAACTAGGAGTTAGTTGTACACACTCATATTTTGCTTCCCGAGAGTTCAGGCAATGAACCCAACTCAGGCGGAGAAAAGAGAGCTATGGGGTGAAAAGATTTCTACATGCAACCTGCAGTGGTAGAATATCAAGGTTAAGCAGACCGTGGAAAGTCATATATATTCCCAGAGCCATTTAAACATTTTTGCAGAATATTACTTTGCATGAAACAGCTAGAAAATTTTCTGGATAGAAAAAAACTAGTATAGAAGTAGAAATTTTCTTTGGATAGAAAAACTATACAAAGAACTATGATAACAGACCCAATAGATAAATGGAAAGAGTATAATCAAAATGCTCAAAATAATGCCCTGGCTGGTGTAGCTCAGTGGATTGAGCGCGGGTCTGTGAACCAAAGTATCACGGTTCGATTCCCAGTCAGGGCACATGCCTGGGTTGCAGGCCAGTGCCTGGCAGGGGACACATGAGAGGCAACCACACAATGATGTTTCTCTCCCTCTCTCCTTCCCTTCCCTTCTAAAGATAAATAAATAAAATCTTAAAAAAAAACATTGGGTCTTATAAAAAAAAAAGCTCAAATAACCTAAAAGAGGGAAAGAAAGGGCAAAATAGAGAAAAGTGCAGGAGACAAACAAAACAACTAATAAAGTGATTGATCTAAATTTTAAAATATTAATAACTACATTAAGTGTAAGTAGTCTAAACACACCAACTAAAAGACAAAAATTATTAAGTTGGAGTTTTAAAAAAGACTCAACTATATGCTACCTATCAGGAACTCACTTTACCTATAACGGCATAGTTATATTAAAAGCATAATGATGGGAAAATATCTTCTATGCAAATGAAGGGCTGATGCCTAAATTAATACGAACAAAATAAATTGCAGAGCGAGGAAATTACCAGAGGTAGAGAGGGGTTTGACATAATAATAAGAGAGCCGATTCACCCTAGGATGTAACGATGCTACGCGTATATGCCCCTGACAATAGAGCGTAAAAACACATGCAGCAAAAAGTGAGAGATTCGTAAGAAAAAAAAAAGAAGTGGACAGATCCATGTTATAGTTGGAGACTTCAACCTGTCTTTCTCAGGAACTGACAGACAAGCAGCCAAGAAATTATCAAGGCTACAGAATTAAACATCGCCATCAACTAACTGAATCTAACTGATATTTATGGAATACTTCACCCAGCAAAAGCAGATATGTATTTTTAAAAATTTTTTCAGCCTCACCTGAGGACATGTTTTTGTTGTTGCTTTTATGGAGAGAGGAAGGGAGAGAGAGAAACCTCGAGGTGAGAGAGAAGCAGAAGCACTGATTGGCTGCCTCCTGTGTGTACCCTGACTAGGGATCGTATGTGTCCAGACTGGGAGTGACATGCACCTGCGCCCAGACTGGGGATCTCACCTGCAACCTAGGTGTGTGTCCAGACCAGGAATTGAACCTGCAACCTTTTGGTTATGGGCTGTCCAGGCCGGGGCTCCAAATACATGTTCTTTTCAAGTACACATAGAACAGTCACTAAGATAGACAATATGCTTGGCCATAAAACAAAGTGTAACAAATTTTAAAAAATTTAAATCACACAAAATATGTTCTCTGACCATAGAGAAATTAAGCTAGAAGTCCATTTTAAAAAATGGACTAAACCGTTCTATCACTACAATAAGAAATTGAATTCATTGTCAAATCCTTTTGATAAAGAAAATCCCAAACTTCCGCCAAGATGGAGGCATAGGTGGATGTGCCGTGCCATCTCACACAACCAAGTTTAGAGACAACTAAATATTAGCAACAGAAAACACAGCCAGAACACAGAAAATTGAACTTTTCGGA